GTCAAATGGTATTTCTAGTTCTAGATCCTTGAGGAATCACCACACTGTCTTCCACAATGGTTGAACTAATTTACACTCCCACCAACAGTGTAAAAGCATTCCTATTTCTCCACTTCCTCTCTAGCATCTGTTGTTTCCTGACATTTTAATGATTGCCATTCTAACTGGCGTGAGATGGTATCTCATTGTGGTTTTGATTTGTATTTCTCTGACAACCAGTGATGAAGAGCTTTTTTTCATATGTTTGTTGGCTGCATAAATGTCTTCTTTTGAGAACTGTCCATATGCTTTGCCTACTTTTTGATGTTTTTTTTTTTTTTTTTCTTGCGAATTTGTTTTAAGTTCCTTGTAGATTCTGGATATTAGTCCTTTGTCAGATGGATAGACTGCACAATTTTTCTCCCATTCTGTAGGTTGCCTGTTCACTCTGATGATAGTTTCTTTTGCTGTGCAGAAGCTCTTTAGTTTGATTAGATCCATTTTCTCAATTTTGGCTTTTGTTGCCATTGCTTTTGGTGTTTTAGTCATAAAGTCTTTGCCCATGCCTATGTCCTGAATGGTATTGCCTAGGTTTCCTTTTAGGGTTTTTATGGTTTTAGATCTTATGTTTAAATCTTTAATCCATCTTGAGTTAATTTTTGTATAAGGTGTAAGAAAAAAGTCCAGTTTTAGTTCTCTACATATGGCTAGCCAGTTTTCTAACACCATTTATTAAATAGGGAATCCTTTCCCCATTACTTGCTTTCGTTAGGTCTGTCAAAGATCAGATGGTTATAGATGTGTGGTGTTAATTCTGAGTTCTCTGTTCTGTTCCATTGGTTTATATATCTGTTTTGGTACAAGTACCGTGCTGTTTTGGTTACTGTAGCCTTGCAGTATAGTTCAAAGTCAGGTAGCATGATGCCTCCAGCTTTGTTCTTTTTGCTTAGGATTGTCTTGGCTACAGGCACTCTTTTTTGGTTCCATATGAAATTTAAAGTAGTTTTTTTCTAATTCTGTAAGGAAAGTCAATGGTAGCTTGACAGGAATAGCATTGAAGCTATATATTACTTTGGGCAG